GGAATTTCAATATCCAGTACATTATTTGCATTGCATCCTTTATATCAGTTAAGTTGGTAATACACACACACACACACACACACACACATATCCCACTCCCCTCCCTCCAGCCCACCGCAAGGTTTATTCCTCATACACACTCATGTCCGCCATGGGTCTGCTGGGGGCTCTAGTCACATCCTCTCAGTCTGGGCCCAGGTTGGTGGCATGTCCACCATCTGGAGCATTGCTGACTGCTGTGGTGGGGGAAGCGGGCTATGGTAAGACACATTGGCTGTCAGATGCTCTGCCTAGTTGTGACATACACAACTTCTGCTCATCTCCCATTGACTGAAGCAAGTCACATGGCCACGCCTACCTTCCAGTGGGCAGGGAAGTGCAATCCTGCCATGTTCCTAGAAGAAGGAAAAGAACCAGAATATGTGTGAATGGCCACTACAGCCTGTGAGGTATTGCTGTGTTTATTGACTGCCCCATCCCCATACTGAATGTAAGTTCCATGAGTGCTGTCTCATTCACTGCTGTATTCCTGCTGTATTTAATGAGGAGATGCTCCGTACATAATCACTGAGTGAATCCGAGAGACTAGCCTGGAGGAGAAATGCGCTGGAAGCAAGCCCTCCTGGATCACTGAACAGGTTATCTTTTCATATTTCCCCCAAACCTTAATAAGCAATGTGATTTCTCTCACCCCACCCACCCCATCAGATGCATGCTGGAAATCTGTGGCACAGGAAACCACATAGATGCTATGTGGCTCTGTCTCATTAGAACAGGCCCTGGAGCCGGTGAAGGGACAAATCCTGGGGGTGAACGGCAGCTAACACCTAGGGGAAGTCTCCACTGACTCTGTGCAGGGACCAGGGTGAGGCAAGCGAGGCACCTAGGGTACAAACGTATGGCGCCATCACTCTAAGCATTGAGTAAGTGCAGAGTCGGCACCTGAGAGTAATGCCCTCCTTACAGTTTGCATTGCCTGATGATGGCCCTATGACCAAATCTTCTCTAGGAACTCCTGATTCCACAGTTTAATAATTTCATAGACAATCCCCACTCTAGTGGGTGCTTCTTCCAGATACATCCAGACAGTATCATATGCAAGATAATTTTGAGCTGAGGCAGTTTTCTTCACTCTTTGTCTAGCTCAGAGACTTTAGTAAACTCCAGGGGCTGAGTTAGTGCTCTAAATGCTGAGAAGTATGGCAAAGTAATAGGGGCGAGGTATCTCTTATTCTTGAATAAGTCTCATTGTTCTGGCTTATTGTTGGACCCCCGGAGTTCAGGTGTTGATTGTTATTCCAATTGGGTCTGAACAGTCTCACACACCTCGTATTCCAATGGAAATAAATACCATTTGTTGAGTACCTACTATGCGCCAAGAAGGTACTCGTACATTGTTTCATTCATTAACAAGGACCTCAACTCCGTTAGCTAGGTATTTCCTGTTTGTCAAAAGAGGAAAAAGTGTCAGGGAGAGTAAGCAACTCTCCCAAGGTCAGTCAGGAAGTGACAGAACTAGGATTTGAGTGAAATCTTTCTGAATCTGATGCTTGGCCCTTCTAAACCTGGACTCCTCTATCAAGCAGTGAGAAAAAAAAAAAATTAGAAGCTTTCATTCAGGCGATATGAACTCAAGAACCTGGGTTTAAGTGACCCTGCTCTGCAATGGAGTCACTGAGTGGGGAAAATGGTAAATGGGCTCTGCTACTTACTGAAAGGTTGGTGGTTCTAGTCAACCCAGAGGCACCTGATCTACTTCCAGAAAATCAGCCATTGAAAACCCTATGGAGCACAGTCCTACTCTGACACATATGGGGTTGCCATGAGTTGGGGTCGACTTGATGGCAACTGGTAACTGGTGCTCAGCACAACCATAGACACTTGCACATTTGATTCACATAACATCCTCTCGCTGAATCGAAATGAATCCCAGTTTGACCATACTTTTTTCTTTCAATTTTTATTGAACACAAGTATTCTGACAGAATGCAAAGTCAAAATTCTCAGTTAGTACTCAGTATTTACACCAGTGAGAATGGAAACAAAGGTGGTCTCGATGTTTCACATGGTAAAAAGTTTTGTAACAAGAGAGAAGGCCCCCGAAGTACGGAATGCTGGGTAGGGATGTTAATGGAGGTCTGAAAATCACCATCCAGACAGACAGCCTAGAGTGAAAACCCGGGATTTTGGAAGGCTCCATAGAAAAATGTGAAAATAGAGTTCCACATCAAAAGCTGCACTATGTACATTACGGCCCTTCAGGATTGGGAGACCCCACACATGGCACTTGAGTGCCCTTCCAGCAGAACCTGACCATGCCGGTATTTATGTGAATACACATGTATGGCACATACACATATAGACACATAGAGACATCGGAAACTGGTAGAGTTGATCCCGCCTCTAAAAAACTAAAAAAGGAAAAGGATAAGCTTTTATCTCTTAACATAAAAGATAGAACATCTTAAACATAAAATGGCTCCCTCTTGGATTGTAGAGAAAGCGTTGCTCTTTGATTTTTTGAAAAGAAAGGAAAGCTCAAGCATGCTGAGACAAACCTATAGTGTGTTACGGGAGAGGGGCAGACCAAAACGTGGGCAGAGTCTTGGGTTTCAGCTAATGGTGAAGCCAGGGTTCTGGGGGGTGTCAGCTGCCCTAGGCTGGGTTATCTGAGGGAGGGAATGACTCTACCTTGGTCTCTTCCTAACCATCAGAACTGAAATCAGTTTGCCTAACCACAACCACTTGGAGTGAAGTGCCCAGTCTTGGTGAGGTACAGCTTGGGCTTGGCTAAGTTGGCCAAAGCCATTAACATCATTAACATTGTTCCACTGAACAATCTGGTGACTGGAAGAGCCACCCCTCCCGCTGGGTCCTCCCTGTCTCAGACATCCAAGCTTTCCCATTCTGCGTGTGCTCTACAACTCTCTTCAGTTTACTTTCTTCCTGAGGGCCTGTGCATTGGGACCATAGATTTGTGCAAGCCCTGGAGCCAAGGGGCCAGGGCTGTGTACACTGGGATCCTCCATTTCCATCCCCAGGAGCTGAGAAAAATGCAAAATAACCTCACATTTAGCAAATGACAAGACCATTATTTTTCACAGTGTGAAATGATAATCTAACATTGCCACTGATTTGACTGCAGAGTCGTCAGACCATTGGAGCGTTCGGCCCGCAGAATAATGAACTCAGAGGCGGTCTTGCCACCCTAACATCTCGCTGTTCCGTACTTCAGGAAAGGAACGCGTGCCGGAGTACTGGTTTCTGTTTACTCAGCATCATCTTCATTGTCATAATCATTTTTATTTCATTTTCTTTGTTTAAAGGCTTCGATTCCTTTTCAGTTATTTTTTCCTGAATATTTCTTTTTCTGAACTACCTGCTATTACCGTCCACAACCAAACTATGCTGAAATTTTATTTCAATACTATGACAAAAACACGTTTCACACTAAATATTCACGCATCCACAGTGCACAAGCTTGCAGTTCTAAAGTAGAATGAGAAAAAAAAGCAAAATTTCTATACAAAGGGCTGGCTTTTCCCTTCTCCCCCCTCCCATCCCCCTTAAAGTTTCTGTATTTCCCCCCCAACTTGGTTTCCAGTCCAGGAAAGTTGTGTTATGACGCAAAACAGCAGGTTGTATATTTTTTTCCCTTTTGTTTCTACAAATGCTGCCTAAGTGAACAGAAGGCCGATGTTACTTTACTTCAACAGATTTCCAAAAAAAGACACTAATTCCCTGAAGCATGCATGCTCTTCCGCTCAAATCTAGATTCTGGGCTCAAAAGGAAATCGTGTGTATATATTTGGCTTTCTACAAAAAGGGGATGTTTGGGGTAAAAAAACGTGTGTTCACCAAGACCAGCCCCAACTATACAATCTTCTCTGCTTCATTCAACAAAGCCTATCGAGTCCTTCAGAAGGAAGGGCGAGAATGCCTGGGGAGCAGACTCTCTGTCACAGACTCAGGCAAGTGGTGGTTAATCTGGAAGTGGTCTAACCCCCAACGGAAAATCAGAAAAACTGAAAACCAAACAGCAAAGCCATTCCAGAATGGGATCCCTCAGCTGGACCCAGGCAAAAAATTCAGATCAGAACGGGGGAAAAGCCACTGTAAACAATCAAATTTTGTAAAGGTGTCCTGTGCTAAAGCAAGCCTGTGATGATCCTACCCACCTCTAGGCGATGTTTGTTACCTTAAAAAAACAAAGACGGAAAAAAAGGCAGCTATTTTACATGGACATTTAAACACAACCAAAGTCAAACATTTGTCAATCTGTAAACACCGGAAAACAAAGTTGACAGAAAGAGGAGGAGGGGGGAGAAAAGAAAAGAGGATGATAAAGAAAAAGAAGTCCGAATACTGCAAATTGAAATCTACCCCCAGAAGCTGCAATCTGGCATTTTTCCTATAAAACAACAGTCTACGTGGGAATTGAATTCAGCTAGAAAGGGTGACGCACTTTGCATCCTGAACAAATACAAAGTGAAGAGAAATTATAACTTACTTATGAGGTTTTACAGAGTTCAAACTCGACTGAAAGTATAAAAATAAACTGTGGACTTTGTTCATTCGGTTCGTCTTAGTGCCTGGAAGTTATTTTTCTGAAACTGGTCTGTGCCAATTGGGTAACACCAAGTGCGGTCTTCTTGAACCTAGATTTATTCTGAGCTTCCTAGATTCTTAATTTGGGGTCCTTTTGTTTGATTTCTAAATGGTTTCAGGGAACGGAGTGTCCTAGTTTGGCTGTGGGTTTAACCTTTTTGTCTCGTTTTCTTACAAGTGAATGTGCAACAAAGGAACCCCTTCTATAAACCTACAAAAAGGAGATTCCATGTTTATCTGTTACTTTTTTTTAAAGGCAAAAGACACTAGAGGAATGAGATGGGTGTGTGTGTGTGTGTGTGGGTGTGGGTGTGGGTGTATGTGTGGGTGTGGGTGTGTGTGGGTGTGGGTGTGTGTGTGGGGGTGTGTGGGTGGGTGGGTGATCTTGGAAATGCTCTGGTGAAGTTGCGTCACTATTTTGATCTTTGCTCACTGCTCATCACTCGTCATGCTTTGCTCTCGTTCTCCGTTGTCTGTGTGGCATCGTTAGGGACCGTCTTGACTTCAGCGGGTGGCGCTGGCTTCGTTTCTGTCTCCTGGCACTCCGACTTTGCTTCTACAGGGCCCTTCCTGTACAGAACCGGGAAAAGAGCACCATTGAAACCATGTTTTGCAGCCAACTCACCCCTTCAGCCAGCCCTAAGAAGGGGCTACACTACAGCGCTGGTCTCCAACTGCGCAGCTGCTTGTCGCAATCATCCGGGAACTCTAAGAATCACTGCTGCCTGGATCCTGCACCCAGAGCTCCCGACTTACTTGGTCTGCAGTATGGTCTGGACATGGTGACTTTTAGAAGCACTGAGGATTCTAATGTGCAGTCAAGGTGGAGAGCCACTGAGCCAGAGGACTGAGCCCTCCCCTATTCCAGCGCTAAACAATGGCAGGGGCTCTGTCTTGGTCTGGGGTGGTGGAATGGGGTGGCGGATACAGCCTTTTCCTCACCCCGATCAGCTGAAGCAGCAGCAGCTCAGCTTGATATAAAGGAGGCATCCTGGGCTGGGCCTCTACAGGGCCCCTTTGCAAACAACCTGCTTTTGCCTGTACCCCGACCCTGTGCTCTGGATTTTGTGAGGACGCCTCTATGGCTTGCCTGGGTAGGATGAGAAAGTGCTTTTGAACTGAGGCAGCTCTCCATGGGAGTCTAGTGAGAGGCCAAAGTGGGCTCGCTTGCTACGGGAAAGGATGGCATAGGGGGCTGAGGAGGGCTCAGTGGGCAGGGCTGTCATAGCCCTTTTACTCCTCAACTGTGAAATCAAGGCTTCCGGGTGCAACTCTGCTTGCAGCTCTTGGTGGCAGTGATAGGAGCCTCTAAAAAAATCCAGTTCTGTCTCCTGCCTCCATCCGTCCCAGAACAGGAGTCGGGTCTAAGGATGCACCTGGGGCAGGTACAGAGCCAGTCTCAGCAGGTGCTACTGTGTTTTGGTAACACATTTAAGAAACCTGTGAAGTTAAGGACCTTCCCTTGAACTTAGAGACCCAACAGCCACTTGGTGCTTGGGAGCCCTGAGTGTTCGCAGCCTCTCCAAGGGCAGGAGAAGCAAGAGCGGGAATGGGGTGTGGGCTTCTTGGCTGGAGTGCGACGGGGCTGCGATGGGGCTGCTGGACCGCAGCCTCTCAAACACGGGCCTCAGGGGTCTACCTCTTTTCTTCCTGCCTTGCTGGTGGGGGCTCAGCCTGGCACTGGCTAACATGTGTTGGCCCCAGGGCGCCTGATAGGGGCACCGTGGCCTCCTTAGCTGGTTTCCCAAGTTATGCTCATCAGTGACCCTGCTGCCAGGTTCCCTCCCAGGGAAAACAGAAGCCACTGCTAGGACAAGGAGGATAAAGCATAATTAACATGGCCTAATTAGCGAGCAGAAGGCTGCTCCCTGGGCCCAGCTGCCTGTCCCTGCTCTCTCTGCCTTCTCCTAGCCCTTTGGTTGACAGTCGCCTGAGAGAAGCCCTGGATTAGCCTGAAGACACATCTCACAAGGAGGACACAGCACAGCACAAACGCACACCACCACGGGACTCGACAGCAGAGAGAAGCCGTACTCGGTCTTTGCTGGTGCAGGCGAGACAGAGCTGTCTGCAGTGGAAGGAGCAAGCTCAGGGGCTTGTCCACTGGCCCCGGCGGTGGGAGCAGGAGAGCCCAGGGCTGCAAAAACATCCTTTGCAAGGTCAATATCTGGGGTCTTGAAGTTCCCTTCGTCCATTTTAAAGTCCTCGCCCTGGGAAGGGTTTGTGGCGCTGACGGAGACAGCCTCGCTCTTCGGGCTAGCGAGGGTTGCCTCGGCCGGGCTCTTCACACGGCCAGGCTGGGTGGGCTCTGGGTCCGCGCCTTTGGTGCTGGGAGCCTCCTGCTTGGCTTGGGGGGCTTCTGTAGCAGTGGTAGCTGCTGCTGCTAGGGGACTAGCTACCCCGGCAGGGGTAGCGGCTGGGCTGGAGGCTGGCTTGCTCACAGGAGGGGCCTTGGGGGCCTCACCCACACTGGTAGGGGTGCTGGGGCTGAGGACAGCCCCCTGGTTGGCCAGGACACTAGAAGACAAATTGCTAGTGGCAGGGGCTGAGGTCGGGGTGTCGCTCAGGTCAACGAGGGGAGCGACCTTGGGGGCCGAAGCTGGGGGTGGGGAGGAGGCCGAGACCCCGGGCCCCTTGGAGGGGGTGGCCTGGCCAGCCGGCACAGAGTTTGAGTCAGGCATGGCTGTGGCCGGGGGGGCAATACTGGAGGTGAGGGTGGTGGTCTCACTGGTGGGGCTGTTCTGAGCAGTGGCAAAGGTTTCGGTGATAGTGTCAGAGTTAGTGGTAACGGTGGTGACAGAAGGCAGCATGTCCTCGACAGTGGCTGTGGTGTCAGCAGGCAGCCTGTGGGGAGGACAGGAAGTAGAGAGAACAGACAATGAAGCTGAGACGTGACAGAGAAGCAGGGGGAGAAGGGCAGAAGCCAAGGAGAGGGACCGTGGGGTGGGGCATGTAGTTTCGCGCACACACGGACACAGGTCCACACAGAGAGGACGACGCTGAGAAGAAGCACACACCCAGACGGGCAGAAGAGGACACAAGAGGTGACAGAGATCCATGGCATCTCTACAAGGGACCCACAGCCCTCTTTCCCTGCTGACTGCCCTCCAGCTCTCTGCACAGGGCTCCCTCTCCCTACAGACCTGCCCTAGATGTTCACTCATGGAGAGGAGCCTTCAGTTAAGTGTCCACCCACTGAAGGCTCTGTAGGTCCTAGAGTAGCTGGGCCCAGCCGCCCTGCAGCACTCCACAGGCAATGATAGGGAAGGTCAGGAATAGGTAGATGATGAGACCCTAAATGGCTCCTGAGATTCTGTGGTTCTATTCAACATTCCCTTCAAACCTGCAGTACCCAGGATGGCCAGGCAGGCAGTGCCGCTGTAGCTGGTCAGGGTCTCTGAGGACCCCTGAGGCTTCAGAGAACAGGAAGGCCAGGGAACTTTACCAGGTTCCCAACTTCCCTTGCCCTTTTGGAAAGATCACGGAAAATCCTAGAATTCTAGGAAGTCCTAAGCAGAATCTGCTACGCTTCTCAAAGCTCAGCCTCTCGCAGTGAGGTGTCATCTTCTCATGCCGTTTCCAGGATGTGTAGGTAATGTGGGAACAGGGCCTAGGAATCCGCACTTATCCAAGGAGCCTCTTAAGGGCCCCCCATAGCCATCCCCAGTGTAACTGAGAATGCCTTCTAAGGAGAGAATGGGACCAGGCACTTGGTCAAGTGGGTCTTCAGGCCAAGGGCTCTGGAATTCTGCCCTGCAGTAGTGGGCCAAGAGCTGTGGGTGGGAAGCATGGGAGGTGTGCGTAGGGTAGATGGGGGATGCTCTACCGAGGAGGTGCAGGCCCCTCCCTGCCCACATACTCAGGCTCCGTCAACGGTGTGGTCTCGTTGGGCTCTGTGTGTTTTCCTCCATCGTGGTTTGGGGTCCGCTCCTCCTCAGTTCGCACCTCCACAATGGGCTCCTTGGACTCGTCTTTCCTGTGGAGAGAGTTCTGCTAGTTAGAGCCCCAGCTACCGATCAGGGCACCTAGGCTTAGGCCAAGGGCTGGCAGGTGGGCTTCCTAGGCTTAGGCCAAGGGCTGGCAGGTGGGCTTCCTCTATAGCCAGAGGGGCTTAGGCTTGCTACCAGGAGGGGAGCGCAGGTGCTCCAGAGCCAGGCACAAGTACCCGAGTGTCAGCTCCGACCCTTGCCGCCTGTGTGGCCTCAAGCATCTGATTTAATCACACTTCGTCTCAGTTCCCTCATCTGTAAAATGGGGCAAATAATATCTACCTCGTGTAGTTGTTATGAGAATTAAATGAGATAATGTATGCAAAGTGCTCAGCGCAGTGGCTAGCACAGATAAAGGCTATAAATTATCTGCATATAGATTATTTTCATATATACGGACACGCAAGTATGTATGTGTATGTACATGTGTGATGGTTAATTTTGTGTGAACTGGCGAGGCTTTGGTGCCCAGTTGTTTGGTCAACACTACAGACGTTGCTGTGAAGGTGTTTTGTTGATGTGATTAACATTTACAATCAGCTGACTCTAAGTAAAGCAGATTACCCTCCATAATGTGGGGGGATGGGGCTCATCCAATCAATGGAAGGTCTAAGGAGGAAAAACTGAGTTTTCCAAGGGAGAAGAAATCCTGCCTCAAGGCTGTATCATAGGTATCCTGCTGGAGTTTTCAGCCTGCTGCCTGACCTACAGACATTGGACTTGCCAGCCTGCACAATCCCATAAGCCAATTCCGTAAAATAAATCTCTCGACAGATAGATAGATAATAGATAGATAGATCCTATTGGTTCTATTTCTCTGGAGAGCCCTGAGTAATACAACTTATTTTCTTGCTCAGATCCCTTCCATGCTTGCTGCAGCTCAGCTCCACCCAGTGACAGTCTGAGAACGCTCCTCTAATTGGCTCGGGATCTGTTTCCCCACAGATGTTGGAGAGGACAGCATTTGGATCATCAGATCCATGAGAACAGGAGTTTTTCATCTGTTTTATTGTTGTACCATGGTGTCTGGGAACAATATTGTCTTGATGATAGTAGCTGCTGGATAAATAGTTGCCAAATGACATATGAATGAATATGGTCCTCAAATACTGACTCCCTCATTCCAGCTCCTTTCCAGGATCAACTCTGACAATTCTGCTTGTGTTTACCTATGCAGGGATTTTCAAGCTTTGGTGAAAGCCCTAGTATACAAGATCTGGGGTTGGGCCCAAGAATCTGCTCTTCAAACAGGTACTTCCAAAGACTATGCTTTGAGAAACATTATTCTAATTGCTTTTTTCCCCTTTCGGGTTTCCAGATGGGGAAATCGAAGCTTAGGAAAACCAGTTGCTGCTGAGTGGATTCCGACTCATGGGTGATGCAAACGTGCAGGGCTGCTAGCTGTAAGGATGGAGGTTGGCGTACAGCCAGAGGTGCCTCAGAAGAAAGGCCTGGTGATCTACTTCTGAAAAATCAGTCCTTGAAAACCATATGGAGCAGAGTTCTACACTGATACACATGCGGTCACCATAACGCTAAGGTAAAGATCCCAGCAGATGGCTCAGAAGTGGCGCAGTTGCTAGCCTCCCAAGACTTAGATCAGAGATGAGAGATCAGACCTCAATGGAGGTGGGAGGGTCTGTACTCACGAGAAGGCAGCTTTGCCCTCCTCCATGTCCTTGCCCTTGGCCCCGGGCCCAGCTTTCCCACACAGGTTGACAGCGATGCACATGAGAAGTCCACATTTGTTCAGGAAGTAGCAGGTGATGTCCACAACCACCAAGAGCAGGACAAAGATGACAATGAGGATGCCCACGATGGCCCCGGTGCTCAGGCCTGAGGTGGGGCTGCCATTGGCTTGAGTGGAAGGGAGAGAGAGATGGCTGATGGTTAATAGACTGATACGTGAGACCCCCCTTGGGCTCCAGAAAGCGACTGCCCCTGGGAATGGGGTAGGACCCATATGAAAAAGTCATGGCATTCATGCCCAGAGCAACACCTTCCCTGGGGTCTTTGTATGCCCAGGTGTTGAATACAAGGATCTCTCTACATCCTTGTAGAGGGGGGATAATAGCCTCATCTCACAGACCTGGGGAGAGGGGAATGAGGCTCCCACAGTTAGGACGAGAGTGGGGACTGAAGCCACGTCTCCATCTTTGCCCTCCACCTGAGCCTCCCCCAGATCCACACTCAGCTGGTCTTCCCATGAGCACTGGGAGCAGGCTGAGCCCAGCCAGTCGGTCTGAAGACACTGGGTAATGGAGTAGCTGGGGTGGTGGAGGGTTCTGCTGTGCCTTTCCTGGACCAAGGGGAACAGCTAATGGCTTTGCAGGGTAAGTAGGCAGGCAGTGGTGACTGGTTCCAGGCTGGGCTGTGGCTCCTGGAAGCAGTCAGGGGGAGGTCACTACTGGGAGGACAGAATGTCCCTAGGGCTTCCTTTGGGCTTGTGTGGACATCAGGCATAAAAGGACCCCCAATGCACTACTCCACTTCCTCTCCCTCTCTTTAGGAATGGCTCCAAAAGAGCTCTATATTGGAACACATTGGATTCACTGCCACCCAGGAAGACAAATGGAGCCTGTGTGGCTCTGGAGGCGTCCCAGGCCCGGTGGGCAAGGAGAAAGTTCTGGGGATACTCACCATCTGGGAGAGCAGGCAGGCTTGGATGAGACTTCGGGAAAGTTAGCCACCTCACACAGAGATGCACACCCACACGGACAGGCATGCTCATGCGCAGGACAAATGTCCACCACAGACGGACACACGCCCTCACATTCAAGCAGTACCCAGCACCCCAGCTCTGGCTGGGCTCACTTTGAATGACTCCGTCTCTGTGTCTTACTCCCCTGGTGTTCATCCCCAGTCCCTCCAGGGCTTTGGGCTATGGATGGCATCACAGAAAGGCCCCTGGCTCAGCTCCCTGGGAGCCCAGCTGCTCATCTGCATGGCCATGATTGATGCCAGTCACCTGGGTATACCTGCCACCTCCTTGGTGATGCCCACTAACGTCTAGGAGATGAGTGGTCATGGGGACAGAAGGAAGAACCGATGCAAGCTCTGCATGTAAGCCAATGTAGAAACAATGACCCCAGACCGAAACCTGGGCATTTCTGATCCATTCTTCTGGAAGGACATGGTGCCAGAACCAACAGCCCACCCCACGACCAGACCTGTTTGAAGTTTCTTGTTCCCTCAGGGCTACAGGTATCACCCAGGGATCACCCAGGTCTCAGAACTGGAGGCAGAGTCTGTGGCCACTACCTGGGTCTCTGCCTCAGCCCAACTCAGTATCCTTTGGGAAGTGCCAGAGCCAGGCCCAGTGGCCTGGCTGCCAGATAACATACCAGAGAATGGAAGGACCATGTACCAAGGTAATTGGCATCCCCAATGGGCCATGCCCTTTTCTCTTTTCATGCAGTCAGTGTTCCTGGGAGGACTACTCTATCCCAGGAGTCTGCTCAGGCACTGCAGGGCTTCTACAGCACAGTCCCACTCCATTGGTCCTTTTCAAACTTCAATTCAGGGTATGGGCCACCAGCTCAGATCCCAGAGGTGACCACTCACAACCTATTCCCTAGCACTCTGGGCATAGATCAGCCTGAGCTGGAGGAGTCTCCCCATCTTGCAAATATTTTTGGCCCCTTGGGACTTTGGTCTTGCTTCCCAGCCTTTCCTCCTCAGGTTCTCTGGCTCAGCACTCCTAACTCTGCACGGAAGACCCCAGCCCATGTCCTTAGGAAGTCCCTGAGACTGGCAAAAGACTCTGTGCTTGGTGGACTCAGCTCCAGCCACCTTGTCTCTGGGCTCTGGAGGCAGGAAGCTGGCCACTGGCCCCAACGGTCTGCCAGTGGGTCATTTTCTAAGGAGCCACCAATGCACAGGTGTTTCTGGAGAGTTCCCATGGACCTTGTATATTCCACTCAAAAATCACGGAAGGAAATGCAGACCTCACACCTTGCCTCACCCTGTGGATCACAAACTGTTTCCCTGAATAGGAAGAGATTTCAGCCTTGGGCTTCTCTTCATCCGTGACGATGGACTCAAGCTTCTACAATGTCCTAATAGGTGTTCAGTGTCTATTTCCTGCAGAAACAGCCTAAAAGAGTATTTCTGTGGGTGGCAGGGGTGGTGGGGTAGTGTCTGTGTTCTTAGAATCAATGGCCAAGCCCATTGCCATAAACTCAGGCTTATATGTGAACATGGTTTTATAGAACTAATTATATCTCTAAGGAGGAAAAACAAACGATTGAAAAGTGGTTCTATGTGTACGGAAGGCCAGCAGCTGAACGACTTCTGATACGGGCTCAGCAGATCCAGCTGGGGGCTGTGCTTGGTCTGAAGGCCACACATCATGAGCAAATTCAAGGTCGGAGGAAAGGGTAGGAGGGTGAAAAGACGTTAGCTGTGGCATAAAGCAAACAGTGGGGTACCTAGAACAGTGGTCTCTCATTTCATATGATATAAAATTTAAATTCTTTGTCTTGGCTAAAAAGGCCCTACGTGGGATGTGGCCTCTGTCTACTCTGCTGACCATTGTCTTGGCACTGTCCCCTTGATCACTGTGTTCCATCCAGCCCGTTGACCACACCCAGCCCGTTCCCACTCAGGGCCTTGCCTGAACACTTCATCCTGGAAGCGCCCTGGATCTCTTTGTTGTCCTGTTGTCCTGCAGGCCTCAGCTCATATGTCATCTTCTCAGAGAGGCCTCCCCTGACCTCTTATAAAGTGAGGCACCTCCACCCCATATCAACCACATCACCACTATCTTCCATTTTCTGCATTTCTATGCTTATTATCAGGATGTCCTTATCATCTCGAATATGCCAGCAGGTATCCTGTCTGCCTTATGTCTCCCCAGCATCTGGGGCAAACCTGACTCAGAGTGAATGTTCAAAACATATTTGCTGAACAAATGAATTAGGGTTTAGCCTGGAGATGAGAAAGCTGCCCCCAAATATTTAAAGGTGTGTCATGAGAAGGAAGAAGAAGTCTTATTCTGTATGGCACCAATGGGTGGAAATTCTGGGGTAGGGGCAGATTTCAGCTCAGTATGAGAAAGTACAAGCAAACAACTATTCAAACATAGCGTGAGCTGCCTTGGTGGGTGAGCTCCCTGTTGCTGGAGACATTCAAGCAGAGGGCGGACAACCCCTTGGCAGGGATGTTGTAATGTTCCTGATGAGACCTCTGCACTGGGCAGGGACTGGGATAAATGATGTCTTCAAGTCTTTTTTAACCATAAGAGCCTGTCATTCCAAGTCCGATATTCTATAGTCAGGAATGTCTTGCCTAGAATATGATTCCCTAATGTCCATTTCCTCCATAGCGTGTACTGAGAAGGATTTTCCCTGGAATGCTAAAATGCTCTGGAGATCCCATCACTAACCATTGATTCTTGTGATTTTATTTTTGCGTGAAAAATAAATACCCTTTCTCTCAATGTTTCACCACTGGCAGCAGAATTCCTGGGGTGCTTTGTTACAAATTCAAATTCTGGGGCTTCCCAATTCTGCTGATTCAGAATCTCTAGAGGTGAGGCCCAGGAATCAGGATATGAACGAGCACTCCAGGCATTTCTTATACACACTTAAATTTGAGGACAACTGTTCCTAGGTTTTCTGGTCTACCTTTGCATTACAAAGACTAACAGCTGATCCTATGATCTGCCACCTAAGGATGAACTGTGCAGTCTCATCCAGCGGCCTGGACCAAACTGACATACTGGACAGATGGAGAGAAAGCAAAGATGATCCCTGAAAGAAAGAGGCACCACCCAGTTCATCACTATTAAAGAGTCTAGACTTCTAGAAGAATTGAGATGCTCCTGGAGCTGCAGGGAGAATGCTTGTAGTTTTTACAAAAAGAAGCTATAAACAAGGGAAGCGCCAGAATATAGATGAAAGGGTATTCAAGTCCAGTCAATGCTCATTATCTCTTGGTCGATGTTACAGAATTGTTTAGTCCAGGAAAGCTAAGGACAAGGGTGATCTCCCGTATCCTTTGTGACATTTTTCAAAGGGAAAAAGAAGCTCAACCTTCTGGGTCTATCTTTGCTGTGATCTTTTCCCTGACCTCCCTTGACTCACTCACCCTGGGCCAAGCATGCAAAGAATGCTTCCTGGGAGCAGTTCCTGGATAACCTCAGAGGTCAGCGCTGCCCTGAATATTGAGATTAGGAAATTGAGATGAGAAAGCTGCCCCCAAATATTTAAAGGTGTGTCATGAGAAGGAAGAAGAAGTCTTATTCTGTATGGCACCAATGGGACTGTCCATCTTCTGTGGTTCCTGGTGCAGGAGAAGCTGGCGCTGAAGAGGGAACAGGCTTGCCCCAAGACTGAGACTATATACGCCTATACTCCTAAAAGCCGTAATATAGGTATACAGTTCTCACATTTTAGAGATTCCTGGGTGGGTCAAGTCACGGTGCCACTGGACCTGGGGCAGCAGAACGGACCCCTCCCACTCCCATGTGGCTGTCAGGTTCTCAGAACTGTCAGGCTGAGGTCCTGGTTTACTTGTAAACCCCTTACATGTCTGCTTGCTTCTTCCCAGAAGCTGCCAAGAACGGTTGCTCTCAGAAGGTGTCTGCTAAGTGTGATTACAAAGGGGAGACAGTTAGCCAAAGAGAACCTTCTCTCAGATTCTCTGTATCACAGGAGTCCTCTGGTTAGCCTCTGCCAGGGAGAGGAAAGGGAGCTGTGAAATCAAAGGACCATGCTATACAGAGTTGTGGATCTGGTGACCCAGAGTGTGCCCTCGCCCCCAACATGACCACCTCCCCAGTTCTGCAAAGGCACTTTCCTTTGCCCTCCCTACTGCGATCTGGGAAAAGTCCAAGGAGCCAATGACTCACAACA